ACACACACACTCTCACACACACACACACACACACACACACACACATACACACACACATACACACACGCATGAACACAAATACACACACATCACCATCACAACCACCACCAACACCACTGACACCACATTCTACAGCAACAAAAACAACAGCAAATAACAGCAACAACAACAGCAGCGGCATTTACAACCGTCAGCTTTTCAACTTTCGCCTGGATGTAAACAGTTAGCAAAATTATTTGAAATCAAGTTTAAGACCACTCTCAAATATAATTTTTAATTGCTTTCCTGCAAGTCTAAATTACTTGGTCTGGGGAGATTTGACTTTGATTTAAGACATATGAGCACATTGACGGGTATCTTCCGTTTCAAGATATTACATCTCTGTGTTGGTGCTCATGACGTATTGAAAGTACTTGTACAGTCGAAACTGTCTAAGACGGCTACCCATTGTCGAGAATGAGACCGTTCGTCTTAGACATGTGGTCGTCTTGCAAAGTGTCATTACAATTAATGCAAAATCACAAAAATTGAGGAAATGGGAAGTGGCTGTTTGCACAGGTGATTGTATTATACAGGTGACCGTTAGAGCAGGTTCGACTATATAAGTCTAAGTCGTAATCTTTGTTATGTAACAAGATTCCGCTGAGCGAAAGCAGAACTCTGAAATGGCTTGCAAGTGATTTTATTTTCAAATATCAACAATATAATAACAGGTACTATTCGCACTGAGTATCCTGCCAAAAAGATTGTAGCCGCCAGAAAGTTGGGTAAACGGAATAGTTTATATACAGCAGTTCTTAGATAGATATATCGCAAACCAAAAGACTTGATTACCCCCACCGAAACAAGCGCTGACAAAATCCAGTTCTCGTTAGACCGAATGGTGTTTTTTTCCTTTTCTGACCCGCGGCCCGGTAAGCGCCTACTTCCGGGTGACGCCAGGAAAATTGCGCAATTTTCTCAGCACAGCCCCACGAAGCTAAGCTTGCCCCGGGTCGTGTGATTTTTGATCATTTCTGGGTTTGTTATTGACGTACAAGAATGCGATACCAAACTGTACCCTTTGTCTTTGTCTAGAACAGGGTACAGGGGCGTGTAATGTTTGGAAGGTGGAAACGCAAGAGGTGACCGGGGGACATCTTGTTTTGTAAGTCAACCTTCAAAAACAAAATAATAATGGTAATAGGAAGAACATTATAATTCAGGAAACTAAAAGCCGGAGGTGAAGTAGAGTGGACAGAGTAATAATTTATAGATAACAAACATACAGATAAACATCTTGTTTCATAGGTCAACCTTCAAAAAAAATAATGACAGCAGTTCTAATAGGACGGAACACAATAATTCAGAGCCTAAAAAGTGGAGGTAAAGTAGGGTGGACAGAGTCATTAATACATAATACACACACAGAAACAAAGCCAGAGAGAGGGAGGAAGAGAGAGACAGACACAGAGAGAGAGAGAGAGAGAGAGAGAGAGAGAGAGAGAGAGAGATAAAGAGAGGAGTATGGTAGGCAGGGAAAGGAGAACAAGAGAGAGAGTGGGGAAGAGAGATAATAGCGGGAACAATATGTTTAAAAATGATGCAGGAAGGTGGAGAAAGAGATTGAGGTAGAGTGTATACCTATATAGGTAGATGTGTGGATATATGGATGGCACGAGAGAGTAACAATTGATAAAAAGATGGGACGAAATGTAGAGAGACAGAAATGGGGCTAGGAGATGGGATATAGCATAGGAGCAAAAATATTATTTTGTTTCTACTGTAATACTGCTCTTATAAAAATATATTTAAACAATTTAAAAAGACTGCATATTGGTTACAAAACATAATTCAAAACAGATCATGTTACTCACTTTCGTGCTCTGCACAGCGTATGTGGGTGATTATTTGAGAGGCATTTTTAGGATCTCCCCTGGTCTCCATAAGCTTCATGACAGTGCGGCCATAAATCATCGTGGCATCGTACAGTTGGTAGGCCTGTCGCGGAATTCTTGGCTGGGGACGAAGAAGAACGAGCAAGATAATAAAAAGCAATGTAATTTTCACAGAACGGAAATGTCTTATCAAATAATAGGCTGTTCATTCTCTGTGTCTGAAGCACTGGGGTGACAGTGGTAATATTTCGATTTCTTCGAAAATTGTTAGGTTAATAGCTTCACAGAAGGTAATCAATTGTTACAGGAACCAAGGACAACCTGCTAAAAAAGTGGATATAGACTTTTGCAAATTTCGAAAGTTACGACCAGTTTGTTTCAATCGCTAATTAGCAACACTTTTTCTGGTATCAAATAAAAAATAAACTGGAGTGCACCCATGTATAGATTTTTTTATTTCAAAGAATTTCAGGTTAGTTACTTCTTCCTTCTGTTCTAAATGTGGTATTGTATTTGGTTTGAAAGTGAATTTACCCGGGCGCACCCTTCGAGTTCCCCAAACCCCTAACATGTCAGTAGTCACAGAAAGTTGAAAAGGACTTCCGTGTGTGATTCAGAGGCTAAAGAGGCAATGCACTATGCTTTTGGTGTATTTTTGTTGTGGTTTGCTTGGTAAAAGTTGAGGTCCATGCCATGGGAGACTGATAGCGCGTGCACACACAGTCAGAGAGAGAGAGAGAGAGAGAGAGAGAGAGAGAGACAGACAGACAGACAGACAGACAGACAGACAGACAGACAGACAGACAGACAGAGAAAAAGTTTTTGAAATTCTCCTTTAGCTTTTGCCCATTAAATGACATAATGGTTTAGCATCATTTAGACGCTGGTGAAGGTTTTGCGATGCTCTGGCTCCGGTATCGGAAAAACTGCTCATGATGAGATAATAAGAAACTATTAGAGTCTCACTCCGATTTCAATGCGCAATTCCCTCTAGTTAGTCTAGGTTATAATCAGACTCCGTCACATAGGCGTCATCTCCTCTCCTACCCCCCCCC